CGTAAGAGTTGTGCTGCAAACAAGTGATGACAAAGTGGGACAGCATTCGGAATACCAAAGCATCCCAACAAGTCATAATGCTCTATTTCTATAGCTATAACTTATAGTTAGTATGCCTCTGTCACCATGATGTGACAGAAAGTAACACAATGGTGTTAGATTGCAATAGCAAATGTCAGACGTCTAGGGCGCCCCCCGCGCCCCCTCTAATTCTGCCAGTGTCGACACTACATGGAAATCACCAACTACAAAAGCTATCGACAGCTACAAGCAATTTAAAAATAAATTTGTGAATTTTTGTTTAGTTTTATTCCATGGACTGCTTCTACTAATCTTATTTTAGGTGCATACCCATAGTAAATATGCATTTAAATAATAATATGCCTTTTATTATTAGCATTACTTACTTAACTTTTAGCGATATTTTGTAATATTTTCAAAAAGGGTGATTTTATTCTGATGAATAAAAAAGAATTCCAGAAAAATTACTTTAAAAAAAATAAGCGAATTCGGTATAAAATTTTCTTTGGCCTAAATTTTAGGTTAGGAACAAGATACAGGGTGTTTCAGTTTATTGTTGCATAACTTTAAGATTCGATAGAACTTTTAAAATTAATGCATAAAGTCTATATAAACATGGGTCGAAAAATGCGTGGCTTCCGAAATACACGGTGTTTAAATTTACTTTCTAAAATAGTTTTTTCTAAATATTTAGAACAATATATGATTTATGACAGTGAAAATTGGTATACAAGGTTTTTTTGGTACGAAAAAACGAACCATGGGCATAGTTTTAATGTAGCCGCTAGAGGGCGCTCTCTACTGTACCTGTAGTGTATTAAAATGACCGAAAATTTTTCCTTAGTGCAATTTTTTGCTTTTTGAATAAAAAAACTGATTTTTCGCACTTTTCAACATAAAAAAGCTCTCTTGTGAATTTTCGTTATGGTCAGCCGTTTTTGAGATATTTCGATTTTTAAGGTTCGATGCATTTTTAATTATGTATGATAAAATAACGTTGAAAAGTCAGTATCTCGATAATTTTTAGAAGTAGGCTGTGCCTGCGAATATTTTTGAAATTGAAAGCAGAATTGGGTTAAGCGTCAATTAGTTGACAGTTAGTTTTGATGTCTGTTGAAACCTGACACGTTTTTTGCAATTGTGAATGCACGAAATTTAGTTTCTTTTACATGTTTTTTTTTTGTAAGTTTTATAAAAATGCCATTTTTATTCTCCAATCAAGAATTAGCGGATATTCATTTTGTGTATGGCTTTGTAAATGGAAACGCAGCAGAAGCAGCCAGAGAATACGCACGAAGATTTCCAAACAGACGACATCCAACTCGCTCAGTATTTGTAAGAGTGCATCGCCAAATAATTGAAAATGGTTTTGGAAATCTCCAAAGGGATCAAAACATAAATGTTCCTCAGCGCAGATTTACCCGTATGATTCTGCGTGAGTTTGATAGAGATCCGACCACGAGTGTTAGGAGAGTTTCTGGTGCCTTGGGAATTTCAGCCGTGTTCTTAGAAATGTCCATAGACGTCCTTACCATTTGCAACCTGTACAAGGAATACAGCCAGGGGGCGGAGAACGAAGAATCACATTTTGTCAGTGGATTCTTGATAGAACTGATAATAATAGGGAGTTTTTAAGTAACGTTTTATGGACCGATGAGTCATGCTTCACTAGACGTGGAGTGGTAAATTTTCATAATCAACATATGGTCGCATGAAAATCCGCCTGCAGTTCGGGAAGGAAATTTTCAGCATGAATTTAGTGTGAACGTGTGGATTGGTATCTACCGTAATCGACTATTTGGACCCTACCTTTTGCCTGCAAGGTTGAATGCTGCAACCTTCTTGGAATTTTTAAAGACTGAACATGCAAATATGTGGGATGATGTTAGATTTAAGAAGATTGGCCTGGTTCCAGCTTGATGGTTGTTCAGCTCATTATTCGAGAATAGTTAGAAACTGGTTGGACGGAAATTATCCAGAAAGATGGATCGGCCGTGGAGGACCAGTCGCCTGGCCTCCACGATCCTCTGACCTAAATCCATTAGATTTCTTTGAGTGGGGATTTCTAAAAGAAAATGTGTACCAGACTCCCGTAACCACAAGAGATATGCTAATAGACAGAATCAGGGATGCATGTGATGAAATAAGACCTTATTTGAATAATGCTATATCACGTTCGATCATTCGTAGATGAAAATTGTGTATTGAACAATTGGGTTTACATTTCGAGCAACTACTTTAGATTTTGTATGTTTGTCCTAACTATCCAATAGCATTTTAGTTGTAAATAATTAATTTAATTTGTTAAAAATAATATTGGAAAATTAAACAAATTAATATTCTGTTTTTTTAGGTGTTCATTTGGAGTTAGGAATTATTGCTCTGTTTAAAAACACAGTCTAAACGATCATCTTAATTACTTGTAATGCCCAAATCGAAAATTTAAGAACAAATATTATTTTCCCATAAAAATTAAAAATGTATCGAACCTTAAAAAATCGAAATATCTCAAAAACGGCTAACTATAACGAAAACTCACAAGGGAGCTTTTTCATGCAGAAAAATGCGAAAAATCAGTTTCTTTATTCAAAAAGCAAAAAATTGTACCAAGAAAACATTTTCGGTCATTTTAATACACTTCAGGTACAGTAGAGAGCGCCCTCTATCGGCTACAGTAAAACTATGCCCATGGTTCGTTTTGTCGTACCAAAAAACCTTGTACACCAATTTTCACTATTATACATCAAATATTGTTCGAAATATTTAAAAAAAACTATTTTAAAAAGTAAATTTAAATACCCTGTATTTCGGAAGACACGCATTTTTCGACCCATGTTTACATAGATTTTATGCATTAATTTTAAAAGTTCTATCGAATCTTAAAGTTATGCAACAATAAACTGAAACACCCTGTATTGGTTCCCGAATCTTTGTTTTTTCAATCGATCGATTTCTATATTCAAATAGTTTTAAGAATTTTTTGCGACCTTTTCCGCCATACTACTCGTAGTTCCTCGAGACGGTGCAAATAGGTGGTTTCTAGCGTAAGGGATTCAACAATAATGAAAATATGATAAGAGATATCATAATAATATGATTTAATCGAAATTCTAAAAAAGATTTCATAGATATACTAAGTGACATATAAATCCGAATACCCAGTTTAAATGGTTTTATTTTAATAAAAGTTGGTGAATGTATTTATCTTACTGTAAATAACAAGTGAAAAAATGTTCAGCCTTATCAGTTGGACATTCCGGTTTTTATACTGCTTTTTTTTAATTCACTAACGCTCTAAAAATGAATATTTCAGCCGCAGTAAAGAATCAACGTTGGCGGATTTTGGTTCTTGACATCCTTTACGATCGGTTACGATGCCTAGACTACGGAGACTTGTACGATTTCGTCAACTTAGTGAGTTTGATAGGGGCCGTATAGTGGGACTTCGGGAAGCTGGACTTTCTTTTCGGGCAATTGCAGTTAGAGTGCAAAGAAGTGTAGACACTGTGGTTAGGTGTTGTCAGGCATGGCTTCGAGAAGGCCGTACGCAAATAGCAAGGGGCACTGGACGCCGCCGTAGAACAACAGACCGTGAAGATCGCCGCCTAAGATTATTGGCCTTAAGGGACCGTTTCTCCACTACCAGGTCCATTGCAAATGAATGGTTTGCAGAACACGGAAGACCTATTGGCATGCGAAGTGTTTACGACGAATGAGAAGTTTTGGCTTGTTTTCATACCGGCCACACTGGGTCCTCCCTTTAACTCGAGAACACCGACGTAATCGCCTTGAGTGGTGCAGACAACGGTCACTCTGGGATCAGGACCGGAACAGTATTGTCTTTAGTGACGAGTCTCGATTTTGTTTAGGCATGCACGATGGTCTTGCCAGGGTTAGAAGGCGACGTGGTGAAAGGAGGAATCCACAGTTTTTTGTTGAAAGACATGTTCATCACACTGTTGGAGTTATGGTTTGGGATGCTATAGCTTATGGTTCCAGGTCACCTTTAATCTTCATCAGAGGTAACATGAACGCGCAGCGTTATATCCACGAAGTTCTAGAACACCATCTTTTACCCTATCTTGACAGCCTGGCAGATCCAACTTTCCAACAAGATAATGCCCGACCACATGTTGCAAGAGTCACAATAGACTTCTTTCAACATAATGATGTCACATTGTTACCATGGCCACCAAGATCTCCCGACTTATCCCCAATTGAGCACGTGTGGGATATGATGGGTAGGAGATTGCTCAATTTGCAACGTCCTCCTCAGACTCTAGAAGCACTTCGAGAGGAGTTGGTGGTTGCCTGGAATGAGATACCACAGGAGGACATTGACCACCTGATCAGAAGCATGCCTAGGCGCGTTGGAGGATGCGTATCACATCAGGGTGCATCCACACATTATTAAAGGTCAAAGGGCTTTAAAGCAGTGCAATCATTTTGAATTTTTTATCATTTACTTATTATGCTTCATTAAGTACTTATACAAATTTTTATTAAAATAAAAGCATTTAAACTGGGTGTTCGGATTTATATGTCACTTAGTATAGTTGAATAAGAATAACATACTCCTGACACAGGCGATCCGCGCACGTTAGTGGCCATCAGTGCCAATAGTTAAACGTTGAACAATAAACTTTTATATTTTTTTCTCAAATCTTAAACTACGTGTACTGGTTGAGTATGGTGCGGTATCTAGTGCTGTCGGAGCGCTCCCTCCTTTAAGGCGTTTCCAGATCAGCGATTTTTTCTGAGACTCTATACTGGTCAACCCAATCCAAGGTAATATCATTCGAAGCATGCTCATTGCCTGTATATTTTGAGACCTATTAGTGTATGTCTATAGGAAACAACGTGCAATTCGGATACTGAAACTAGGACCAACATAACTGGATTAGATTTTGGTACAAGATATTTACGTCCAGATCGTGAAGATGATCCAATACGTTTTCATTTTAGACGCGGTAACCTACCTTTGGTTTCTGCTAATCTTAAACCCATCTTGATTCCCTCAATCATAACTTTGATGTCATCCGGGTGGGTGTAGTAGTTACCATAGATTAAAGGATGACTCAGCGGATTATTGTCCTTCAGTTTTAGGTACCCTAGAATGATAATAATAATAATTATTATTATTATTAATAATAATAGTAATATTAATAATTATATGAATTAGTAATAAAGATTATAATATAACATTGTACACCTTCGAGGCCATCCACTATGGACGAGCTGCGATAACTCGACACCAAAACCCGAAAAAGCACATGCAGCTTAAGTCAGGGAGGCACTGAGCGCTACCTGTGCGTGAATACGAGAATGTAGGTGAAGCAGCTACTTTTTTTAGAGCAGCGAGAAGAACAGCGGAGAAACACAGCCTCATACTTGACTTTAAGCGAGAATGCCAGCAGTCCATTACGGAGTTGGCTCCTGCTCAACCGAAGAGCAGCATAGAAACTGCTGATACAAATTACGTATTAAGGCTTCATAGAGACAAGCCTACGCATGAAATTTCCCTTAGACACATATAGGAGCATGGCTTGTCTAAGCAGCTGACCTTCTCATTTCTAAGGTCTACTGGGTTAAAGACTGACACTAAGGAATTCATTATGGCTTGTCCAGATGGTGTATTTGATACCTTGATATACCGTAGTACGGATGTACCCGATGCTAGCTACAGAGAGTGTCGACAGGCGCCAGAGACGCTTATGCATCTCTTGTCATCGTGTAAGGCCCGTATCGTCAGTCGTCCCTACAATTGTAGAGCGCGTTTATGGCCTCCTTGATTGTCATACTCCTTTCTCTCCTTCAAAAATTTCTAGATTACACTTGTCCCGTGTCAGCGTCAGCGCTCTCCTATTGTGAAGATATGATTTTTTTTTAATTGTAGGAAATTTCAGGCTGATAAAACATGATATAACTCAAAAGCAAGCACAATTTGATGCAAATAGATGTTTGTGACATAACCTCAAAATAGAGCGCTGACACGGAGAAGTAGAAAACTTTTAAAATCAAGGAGGTCATAAAGGCGCCCTACAATTGTAGGGACGACTGACGATATGGGCCTAAAGTATACGCTGGCACTGCTTACGTCTATCGGCACAACGCAGCCCTGCGAGTGCCATACTACCATTTGAGGTACTCTTACGGTATAGATAAAACAACTGTGCTGCCCTATGCTCCAGTGATATCGTGTCCGTTGAGGAAGACGAAAAAAGCCGAATTTACTGGAATTACTGGTTTCCTGCCCACGAGCTGGTGCAGGCGAAAAATCCCGACATGGTCCTTCTGGATCACGAACGGTGGGCGATGTTCGTTATTGAATTTTCGGCTCCGGTCGAAGTGGAGATCTCTTCGAAGGAGGAGGCAAGACGAACCCAATATCAGGTGCTCCTCAATCAGCCTTGCAGACTCTGGCCAGACCACACTGTCAGTCTGCTAGTCATGGCCATTGGATCCTTGGATGGAAAGAGGAATGCACTGTTCAGATAGCAGCAATTAAATCCATACCGGTAGCTGGAAGAATGCAGAAAGCTGTCATCCTCGGTTTCCTCCGTCTACTTACGGCACACGATTTGCGGACCAACTAGTCGCTTAACTCACGGTGTGATGAGCGACTAATTGCTAATGGACCCGCAGCTTGGTGTATCGGAGTCCAGGTTGCCTATTTTACTTTCATTTTCCCCTATATATAATGATAAATAAAAAGTTCTAGAGGCTAATGTACGGAGAAGACTGTGACGTGTGAAATATCTCTGATAAGTGCGTAGAATTACCAAGGTTGGGAGAGAATAAATGTACTAACATCAAAAAATTGGGACAAACCTTTCTCACCCCTCTACAACCTTCACGCCTAAGTTTTTTCGCCTCTTAATTGTTTTCAAAAATGATCATTCTCCTCGGAAATATCAAAAAACGATGTTTGAGCTAGTTACATTTCTTTTCGCTTTTGGCCTTTTTCTCTGTCGCGACTGGACAGATTTTCAAAAGTAATAAAGCTTTTATGTCCTTCGTATAGTAGTAACATTGTGAAAAATATCATCGAGATCCGAGTGGTACTTCTTAAGTTATAGGCGGTTATAAGATTAGCGAGCCTCGTCTCGTAAATAGAACAGGTGTAGTCTCCCCCATTTCCCGGCCAACCTCACGAGTTCAAGGTGCACACGCAACAAGAAAAGCAACCGCGGCCCCCACCTTCCTTGTCCACGGCTTCTGGCCTACAAACTCTCATTTTCTTCAAAGTCAAGTTGTCGCAACAATTGGGTGGAACGTGGGGAGCGAGGGAGCTATTTACTTCGACGAGGCCTTCACATAATTCAGATCGAACACCACTTACACGTAAAATCGTGTGATCGTGAAATTAACAATCGAAATGCCGAAAACCACCAGATCTAAAAACTCGACGAGGAAAAAATATGAATTAGTGTATAAAATCGATATTTTCAGATAAATATTAATAAGTAATTTATCCCTGGAGCTTTTGATTTCTTGACACTTTATTACATGATCAAATCTGCCGGCTATAACCTCATCTATAACGTTCTTAAATATTTTTCACGACTTCCCTGTATTCCTGGATGGATGTAAATCAACAAACATTACATCTTATCTCCATTATCTCTTTTCCAAAACATGTAATTTATTAATTATGTTCCGTCCTCGCCGAAGTAAATATTTAGAATACATATCGTAGTATCCTCGTAGTAGTACCCAACCGCCAGGATTTCAAAGCGCGCACGCAGAGAATGAAAGCGGCACCGCGTCCCTTCAACCCACGTTTCTCCCCTCTGGCCGCCTATAAACCTTCATTCCTTGTTCTCGTGCCCGACTGTCAAGACATTAATCCATACGGTTTGGAATAGCCATAGAGCAGGTCAATAATATGCACATGACAGGTTACCATTTAGGGTAAAATGTACTCCTTATGTGTTCACAAAGTTAATTAAACCATTTATGGAGTACCTTAAGAAAAAATTGAGCACTTTCAGGTTCAGTATTAAGTTGTGACAGAAAGAAAGTAAATTTACTTGAGCGAACGATGCAGACATTACGAGGGACGTCTTTTAAGTTTTGCATATGGAAATAAAGCAACACGGTAGGTAGTTTTAAATGACTTTATTATTTTTCGAAGTATTCTCCACGAAGATTAATACACGCCAGCATGAGGGTAGGGTATGAGATCTAAAAGACGATGTAAATATCAAGCTTAATGGTATGTATTCTAAATATTTACTTCGAAGAGGACGGAACATAATTACATGATCAAACAAACTTACATGTAAGTGATGTTCGATCCTAATTATGTGAAGTCCTCGTCGAAGCTCCCTCTCTCCCTATGTATCACCCAATTGTTGCAACAACTTGGCTTTGAAGTAAATGAAGGTTTATAGGCGGCTAGAGGGGAAAAAGATAGAGGGAAGGGGCGCGGTGCCGGTTTCCTTTTCTGCGTATGCGCTTTGAAATCGTGGGGGTTGGGTACCACTACGAGGTTACTACGATATGTATTCTAAATATTTATCTCGACGAGGAATTCACATAATTAAGATCGAACATCACTTACAAGTAAGTGCGTTTGATCATGTAATTTTCGTGTGTTTTTATTTTGTATATGAGCAAATAAAGATAAATAAAGATTTTTCTAATTTTGTTGTAAACGAATCGACAGATCTTAAAAATCAAACGTCAAAATAAAGTATTTCGAAAGATCTGCCAAATAAGCTACTACCCGATACCCCTTGTCATTTAAATTTTTTAAGGAAATGACCCTGGGGGGCACAGGGTGAAAGGGGCTGGAGCAGCTTTTCTTTAAATAGTTGACCTCCTTGACATATCTTTTGACGTGTCTCGGCGTTTTTTCTTTTAATCAGTGGTTTTCGACAAATCCGAGCTTCAAGATGAACAACCTGTATATTCTTTGAACTTTGAAACGTTACGGTTATAACAATGTAAGATTTCTGAAATATTTCTGAAAAATATTGTGATGTATGGGTACAAGCCAGAGACGATGCGAATGTGCCTTTATAAACTAAACATGACGGAACTATTTACTTCTAAAACAAGTTATTTTCTCAAAAACATTTTAGATACACTCTAGTCGTAAAAATACATATTTGAAATCACTTAGACCTATAACTAATAGAACATCTGAACACATAAACAATGTGCGAATAAATGCGCGAAGTTAACAAAGCAACAATTGAAAGATTACCATTGGGTAACATCACCTTTATTTTTTATTACAGCTGAAATTCTTTGGGGCATAGTGTTAACCAAGTTTTGGCAAAATTTGGTGTAAAACAATCCCATATTTCTTGAAGCTTTTGTCTCAGTTCGGTGTTTTTACGAGCAGGATGTTGTCGTAGAACCTTTTTCATCTCGTGTCACAAAGTTTCAATACGTGACAGATCTGGACTGCTAGAAACCCATTTCAAAAGTGGTACAATATTTTCTTCCATCCATTTTATAGCCTTTTTTGAGATATGGCTGAATCCCAGTTTGAAGCCTCTCTATGAGTTGTGGACCTCGAAATTCTCCTTCCAACAGCGTCACTCCACAGAGCACTTCATTGTAAATAATTGGTACGCCTGCTTTTCGCGATTATTCTTCTTAATGCTCTTCGGTCGGCATTTGTGATATTACTTTTTTTCACATAACGTGGCTTAATATTAACTGAACCAGTTACGTTATATCTTCTAACAATATTTCTCACACTGTACTGTCTAACAAAGTTGCAATTTCTGAGTTTGATTTCCCAGAATTAAAAAATTTAATTATCAGTAACCGAATTTTCTCACTAATAACCTTTCCTCTACCCATTTTGAAAACCTTAACTACCCAAAACTATTTTAAACGTATTCTGACAGCTGTGATTAATAAAAACAATTGTCATGGCTTTTATTTTTCACAGCCCCCTATGCGTTATAGACTTATTTTGCATTGAAATGAAAATAGGTTGATATGCTGTAATTGCAACATGTGTTATTTTTATGCTGCAAATTTGATTAGGGAGTGATAAAGTTGGTGTTTTCCACTATACAATGTGAGTCTTCATAAAGTGCACATAGCAAAATCAAGGAAACTACACCTTATTTTATTGACGGAAAAATTAAAAGCAATAATTGATTTTTTATGAATATTTTAAACTTTTTAGAGTCAGCTGCTAACCCTATTTAAATAAATCGTTACAACTTTTAAACTGAATGTCCTATCATATTGGAATACATTTTGTAGTGATTGCAAATAATAGGCCGTACCAGTAAAGTGAAAATTTCCACGAAATTAAATGCAATAAATTTAAAATAAAGAGGAACATGCTGAAACTCTATTTTTTCAATGATTCTTAAAACAATTACTAAATTTCAATAACAATTGTCCGATTTACCCTACCTTTTTTAAATGTTAAGTTATTCTACATGTTGTTAGCTTCCTAATGGTGAAAAATTGCAAGTTTATTACTTAGATACAAGTTTTTAAATCAGCGTTTCAAAAAGCAGTGATCTCAGTTCAATGCCAGAGTAGGAATAAAACAACAGTATTAACCTACGTGAATCATTCATTATCTTTAACAAATAAAATCAAATAGACTTGTCTATAGGATAATAATTTTGGCTTAATGCATCAAATGTTCAAAATGGCCACCCCGTTGCTGCAAACACATTGTAGCGCGAAGTGAAATTTGATGAGTTGCCCTACGAATCATCTCGGGATCATGTTTGATTTCGTTTGCAACACGCAAAACTATTTCTTCAAGTTCCGCTTCGCTGTTTATGGAACTGCTGTACACCCTTTGTTTCATTGTCCCTCATAAAAAATAGTCGAGAGGTGTGAGATCTGGGGAACGCGCCGGCCACCCAACAGGTCCTTGTCGACCGATCCAGCGGCCTGGATAATTTTCATTAAGAAAAGACCTGAAAATCAGCGAGTAATGGGCAGGACATCCATCCATTTGAAGCATCATCCTTCGACGGGTTTGCAGCGGCACTTCTTCCAACAGCAAGGGCAGTTCAGTCCGCAAAAGCTCCAGAAATCTCTCTCCGTTTAATGTCCTCGGGAGTATTATTGGACCAATCAAAAAGTTGTCAATCAGTGCGGCCCACACATTCACAGAAAATTTCACTTGAAATGTTGAAGCCCTTTTCAGCCTAGGGTTTTCATCTTTTGGGCACCACTTATGTAAATTACGACAGTTCACGATGCCGTCTCTCGTGAATTGAGATTCATCTGTCCACAGAATTGTTTTCGGGAATTCAGGATTGTCTCTTATTTTTATTAAAATCCATGTAGACATAACGCACCTTGGACGCCAATCCACATCTTCCTGCAAGTGCTGCACCCTTTGATAATGGTATGGATGCAACCCTGCTTTCCTCAAGATGCGCCAAATCGATTTCTGGGATACGCCATGACGTAACGCCAAACGTCTCATCCTAGTAGTCGGGTCAGCAAACAAATCATCCAAAACGGCTTCTTCGGTAGCAACATGAATAATAACACCTGGTTCGCGGCGATCTCGAGGCAAACCAAGTCCAGTGTTAGCCAGTCTTCTATGTACTTCTTGGAAGTTACGGGCTGATGGAACAGGGCGTCGATTTGGAAATGCAGCTAGATAAGCTGTGCAAGCAGCTCTAGCACTCCCTCGGTACATTCCATAATAATAATGGATATCGCCAATGTGTGCCGGAGGTAAATCACTTATACGTGGCATCGCGACCAAAAAGCGAAAGCGTGATATGTAGCAAACGAAACTGATAAAGTTGGCAGGCGAAACACAAATAGCTGCCTAACTGCCCAACGTTCAATTGTTTTTCAATTGGGCCCGCCTCCCCATTCGTACTTCAGCCCGAGCGACTCTACATTGAATCACCAAAAAAAGGTATCTACATGATAAACAATGGTGCCTAGCAAGACGATGCGCATGGGTTTTTTTATAAACACTCATAGAAACTGTTACATTTGAGTAATAAACGTGCAATTTTTACTTTTATAAAGCTGATAACATGTAGAATAACTTACAAATAAAAAAAGGTAGGGTACAAGGGACGATATTTATAGAAAATTTGAAATTATTGTAAAAATGATGAAAAAAAAACAATTTTCATCAAAATAGGACATTTAGTTTAAAACGAGTTATTTCAATATGGTTAGGAGCTGGTACTAAAAATTTTAAAATATTCATATATTCATAAAAAGTCAAATTCATGTTTTTTTGATGATTTATCCGTCGATGAAATAGAGTGTAGTTTCGCTGATTTTGATGTGCACTTAATGAAGACTCACACTGTATATTATCAAAATATTCATTGTTGATATTTTAAACCTATAACACCCTGCTACATTTTTATTATTTGTGTTTGATAAGAAAAAACCTAAGATTTCAATAGTTGGGCCAACTGATGTGGGAAGCGGCTCGTATATGTACATTACCTCTGCTTTTCGGATGCAAAACGGTCGGTATGATTTGAACTGACCTCGTGCCGTTGTCAACCTTCTCTCCTATTTGTCCAGTCTTAGCACAGCTAGCCAAAAACCCGCCGAAGAAGAACTGGATATCCGGATAATCTTCTCGAGGATTCTGATACTTGGTGTTGACGAACCCTGTTACCTCAGATACCCCTGTGGAGAGACAGATATAGTTAGTTTTTAATATCGATACTGGATTATGCTGGCATTTGAATAACATCTTAGAATTAAAAGTCATACTGAAACTCTGATCAAGATCTCATCTCGTATAGCGTCCAATTTTACAGTTATGGATAGTACGTTGGGGAACTGCATCTTTTTCAGATCCTTTCAGTATAACTAAAGAAGTTGGAAACTAGTGACGCGAGCACCAGGTTAAGAGACTGAACTTAAAGACTACTGGTTAGTATTATACAGGGTTACTCAGAGGAAGTAGTGGACCGACAGTCATCAAATTTTGAACAGAGAGATAATGGACCATTGTCGATCAGTGAGTAATTGGGGTGTTGAGAGATTTAGCATTTTAGTATATTTTTATTCACGTGCATTAGTTCCCTAGTACCTTTTAGTATAATCTCCAAAATATCGGCACTCCATCTAGCCTATTTATGTATGTATGTAAGATATGTCACCATTATCAAAAGTCTAGCAACGGTCCAATATCTAGGGAGTATAAGAAATTTGGAACAAGAGGATAATGACCCAAATCAGTCAGTAATCGCGTTGTTGCCAGATCTATGGTTTAGTTATTTGCTTAGTTTGCTTATTATCAAATACATATTAGCATCCTAGTACTCATATAGCTTGCTATAGCTTTTATACAGCTGAGCTCCATGTAGCCTACTTAGGAAGATATGGCAACATAAAAAATATTTGGAAGTTATCAAATATACTAAGTGACATATAAATCCGAACACCCAGTTTAAATGGTTTTATTTTAATAAAAGTTGGTGAATGTATTTATCTTACTGTAAATAACAAGTGAAAAATTTTCAGCCTTATCAGTTGGACATTCCGGTTTTTACACTGCTTTTTTTTAATTCACTAACGCTCTAAAAATGAATATTTCAGCCGCAGTAAAGAATCAACGTTGGCGGATTTTGGTTCTTGACATCATTTACGATCGGTTACGATGCCTAGAGTACGGAGACCTGTACGATTTCGTCAACTTAGTGAGTTTGATAGGGGTCGTATAGTGGGACTTCGGGAAGCTGGACATTTTTTTCGGGCAATTGCAGTTAGAGTGCAAAGAAGTGTAGACACTGTGGTTAGGTGTTGTCAGGCATGGCTTCGAGAAGGCCGTACGCAAAGAGCAAGGGGCACTGGACGCCGCCGTAGAACAACAGACCGTGAAGATCGCCGCCTAAGATTATTGGCCTTAAGGGACCGTTTCTCCACTACCAGGTCCATTGCAAATGAATGGTTTGCAGAACACGGAAGACCTATTGGCATGCGAAGTGTTTACCGACGAATGCGAAGTTTTGACTTGTTTTCATACCGGCCACACTGGGTCCTCCCTTTAACTCGAGAACGCCGACGTAATCGCCTTGAGTGGTGCAGACAACGGTCACTCTGGGATCAGGAATGAAACGTCTTTAGTGACGAGTCTCGATTTTGTTTAGGCATGCACGATGGTCGTGCCAGGGTTAGAAGGCGACGTGGTCAAAGGACGAATCCACAGTTTTTTGTTGAAAGACATGTTCATCACACTGTTGGAGTTATGGTTTGGGGTGCTATAGCTTATGGTTCCAGGGCACCTTTAATCTTCATAAGAGGTAACATGAACGCGCAGCGTTATATCCACGAAGTTCTAGAACCCCATCTTTTACCCTATCTTGACACCCTGGCAGATCCAACTTTCCAACAAGATAATGCCCGACCATATGTTGCAAGAGTCATAATAGACTTCTTTCAACATAATGATGTCACATTGTTACCATGGCCACCAAGATCTCCCGACTTATCCCCAATTGAGCACGTGTGGGATATGATGGGTAGGAGATTGCTCAATTTGCAACGTCCTGCTCAGGCTCTAGAAGCACTTCGAGAGGAGTTGGTGGTTGCCTGGAATGAGATACCACAGGAGGACATTTACCACCTGATCAGAAGCATGCCTAGGCGCGTTGGAGAATGCGTAGCACATCAAGGTGCATCCACACATTATTAAAGGTCAAAGGGCTTTAAAGCAGTGCAATCATTTTGAAATTTTTATCATTTACTTATTATGCTTCATTAAGTACTTATACAAAATTTTATTAAAATAAAACCATTTAAACTGGGTGTTCGGATTTATAAGTCACTTAATACCTTTATCACAGACCATGCATTTCGCATAATCGCGCCCTTTATTGATTTTTTAATCCAGCATTGGAAATCTGGCACACGCACGCGACAAAAAATGACTGCAAGCCAGGCAATACTATACTGGCCGAATTCGGAATAGTACACGAAATCATAAATCGTACAATACAGGCATGAACTTGTCACGAGCCGCTAGGCCTAGGCGATGTAGCCAAATCATCGAGTATCTTCGGCGATTCCCCAGGTGCAAAGAATCAGCGTATGTGACACACTAATGTCAGGCAAACTGAATAAAAATATATCTGATCTAGTACGAATAATAATAGTACTTTTGTCATTCTCTTTATCGCGATGCATTAAAAATATTTCTCTTATATAAGGAACAAAAATTATTCAATTGAAGGAAAAGTCCACTTTTCGGTGGATTTTGCTTTAAAATCGGTAGTTCGGTAGACCAGCACCAAAATCGGTAGATCTACCGAAAAATCGGTAGACCTGGCAACGGTGGCGGTACTCTACCCGGTCCAACCGAGTATCTCCGACTGCACCCGAGCCGACACGATTCACGGCGCATAGCGCTTTGTACGGGTGCGCCGAATCGGTTTTGTTAAGCTCTGTGTTAGATTGAGGGATTGGGCTTCTACAGTATATTCAGATAAGAGATAGACCGGATGTAAACAAAAGGTTCGGGTGATTTTCACGCTAACGCCGCCGTCTCGACGTAAAACAGGAGCCCTCATTGGTCAATTCGCAATTAAATGCCTATGCCGAGCGGCAGAGCAGTCGTATCAAGGCAGAGTCACATTCAGGTCCAGACGTGTTACGTATGTCGTGTGCATCATTGCAATTTGATATTTCTTTGGACGTTTTCGTTTGTTACCTTATTAAGTTGTCGAGTTTGTCGTTGATATTGTTATACCTTGTTATTGATTGTTATTGTTATCAACTGCTTGCGCAAAATGCCCAGTAGTACAGATACTGCCGATGAAGTTGTAAACTCCTGTAGTCCACCTAGGAAACGCTCTAAAAAAAGACACCTGAGTGCATAAATGAAAGAGGTCATTTTGAATATATATAAGATCGAGCGCGAGGAGAACGAGGCATCAACCATCAAAGAAATTGTTGTGAAGGTTTCTCACAAAGTTGGGGTGTGTCGCGCATCAGTGTTTAATGTGTTAAGACAATACAAAAAAAATCACACCTTTTCTGAGCCAATGACCAGTAAACATCGCAAAAGTATTGTTAAATCATTGGATGAAGCTGATAAGCATGCGATTAGGAGGAAAGTGCATGAATTCTTCTTTAGGAATGAAATACCTACTATAGATAAAGTACTGCAGGAGGTAAATGGAGATACATCGTTGCCAAATTTCAAACGATCAACTTTCCATGCGTTACTGAAGCATTTAAATTTCAAATGGAAAAAACGGGGTCGTAATAGTTTACTACTGGATAGAGAAGAAATTGTGCTATGGAGGAGGGATTATTTAACAAAAATTGGGAAATATAGAAATCAAAACAGGAAGATTTATTACCTTGATGAAACGTGGGTAAACGCAGGACACACTACAAGTAAAGTATGGGTTGATGATTCTGTAACTTCATCCAGGAGGGCCTTTCTAGATGGACTGTCCACAGGATTAAAAAATCCAGCAAGTAAATACGAGTAATAGACAACAATCGGATGTTTTTCAAACCTTGGGAAGAAGGTTCTAAACATTAATTCCAGGGGGCAGATAAAACATATTACAAGTAACAAAACTTTTATAACTTTCGATAAAATGCGTGGATGTTTTATTGTAATTTTCATTTGTGAGAACTTTTTTAAGCCATGTTTTTATGTGTTTTCGATATTTCTAATTTACTACAAAGTTACGCAAAGCAGCATCTACTATCTAAAATATGTACTGCGTGACTCTTAATACGTCTTAATACGTCCCTTACAGCGTTCGATGATCACGTGGTCTTGTTTATGTCCGGTCTATCTCTTATCTGAATATACTGTAGATATGTATCTGTAAGTACCTGTTCCGCTCATCAAACCATCTCTAAATAGAAGATACTCCATCGCAGTAGCCCAGTTTAGAGGTGTCGTATTCGTATCGTTGATTTGGTAGTTGATGAAGTAAGCCACGTGGTTGTGCAGGTTCTTGCCAACTCCGGGTAGATCGTGTATCACTGGAACACCAACAGTCTGTAGGTCTTCCTTAGGACCTATTCCAGAAAGCAGGAGGATCTGAGGAGTATTCACGGCACCTTGAATAGAGAAGTCACAAATTGAAGAAGAATTGGAGAAATGTAATAGTCGTATTAATTTTGTAAATGTATCTATAGAAAATAAACATCCTTAACAATCGGTTAACATTTTATTTCTAAAATTAAGATATTCATAGTGTTTTATTCAAAAAGATCCTCCTACTTATTTTTTGGACGGCACGGGTATTACGTATCCTGAAAAGTGTCGTTTTCTTTTTTGACATTTCGTTGGTTTTTCTACAAGATGTTAACTTAGCACAAGTAGTTGTACACTTGTTGTGAGATCGTTTTGTAGCTGTACGTGTTGCTTAAACGTCAACGAACAGCGAGCAAACGTGGAATGAACTATTTGCACTCTACGAGGGTGCTCCCAGAAGTACCCGGCCTGACCTAGAGATGGTGATAGTTGTTTGAAAAATATCATTGCATTAGAAAGTATGCAATCTATAAAGCATATGTGTCAAGTTTGAAGACGCCACGTTGTTTAGTATTTGTTTGTCAGCCATTAATACTGAACGTTTTCAGTGAATTTGTGAAAATGGAGAAAATTGGTCATCGTTATGTGGTACAATACTTTTATTTCAAAGGCTTCAGCCCAACCAATATAAAAGCTGAACTGGATTCTACTCTGGGTGAGTCTGCTCCTTCGTTTACAACAGTAAAATATTGGATAGCAGAGTTTAAACGAGGCTGTATGAGCTGCCAAGACGAGCATCGCAGTGGTCCACCAAATGAGGTGACGACTCCAAAAATAGTGAAGAAAATTCACAAAGCGGTACTGAATGATCGTCGACTGAAAGCGCACGAGCTAGCAGACATAGTAGACATTTCAAAAAGTGCGGTTCATCACCTATTATCTGAAAATTTTGACATGAGAAAGCTGCGTGCAAGATGGGTGACGCGATTGCTCACAATCGAGCAAAAACAGTGTCGTGAAGATGTTTCAATTTAGTATTTAGCGAAGTTTCACAGCAACAAAGCAGAATATTTGCGCCGTTTCATAACCATGGATGAAACATGGGTCTATCACTTCACACCGGAGACAAAAGAACAATCAAAACAATGGATCCAAAAGGGACAACCGGCTCCAAAGAAGGCGAAGACCGTTTTATCTGCAGGCAAAGTTATGGCGTCGGTTTTTTGGGATGCGCGTGGGATAATTTTCATTGACTATCTTGAAAAAGGTGAAACTATCAAAGGCGAGTATTATGCAAAGTTATTGCAACGTTTGAGCGATACAATCAAGCAAAAACGGCCGCATTTGGTTAAAAAGAAAGTGTTGTTTCATCAAGACAATGCACCAGCTCACAAATCCGTTATTGCAATGGCCAAAATTAACGAATTAAAGTATGAATTGCTACCTCATGCACCCTATTCACCAGATTTCGTCCCCTAGGATTATTTTCTGTTTCCAAACTTGAAAAAATGGCTCAGTGGTCAGAGATTTTCCAACGATGAAGAAGTGATGTCGGCAGTTAATGGCTCTTTTGAGAAGCAAGACAGTTCTTGTTATAAAAAGGGTATCGAACTTAATGAACATCGCTGGGATAAGTGTATAGAGCTCAACGGAGATTATGTGGAAAAATTAATACATTTTTTTTTACAAAATTTTTGTGTTTTCTTCGTCGGGTCGGGTACTTCTGGGACCACCCTCGTAAGAACTACCTAGTCTGCAAGATGACATTTCGTCGGTTTTATTGACGTTTATTAGGTTCTTTACATAACACCCCTAAGGGTATGACTACCATCTATTCATGAAACACTTCAGTTCTATAGTAGATATGACAGCACAAAACAAATAAGGTTAAATTTCATTTCCAAAAAACTTATACCTGTACATGTAGAATGTTGTCGTTGAATGCCGTACAAGAAAAAGGAAGTTCATGCAAATGAGATTTATTGACAGTTGCCGCCGTAGTTTGACTGATACGGATTTTATTGAGACTAAAAGATACTGCACAGACCGAAGAGTGTTCAATTCAATTAGACAGAAGTTTGTGTTTCCTCACAGTTACTTTGATGTAAAGAAGTTATAGCAGGAATGCATATCCTCTAAATGCGAGCTTTTTTTCATGATTTGTTGACATTTCGTTTACTTTTTGTCTATGAATAATAGGGGATAATTTGAATACCTAGAAGTAGATGGCGCTAGTTAGATTGGTGCTTATACCTGGTTCTTTCAAAGTTGAGTTTTATTTCAACAGCTTGTTGAACCCGTCAAAGGAAGTTCATATACCAAGAATCACTTATATAGAAGTTATACAGGGTGTCCCAGAAGTCGACGTCAAGCCGAAACCGGGTGATAGGCAAAGCCATAACAGCTATCAGAAAAATATTTAAAAAAATTTTATGTATGTGTTTTGAAAAGTATAGGTCTTTGAAAAAAATATAGAAATTTCACACCCTACGACAGTCTGTCTACTCCTGTTACTACAAATATTAACTTTTTTTGGATTTTATTTTTACAATGTAATGATGAATAATGCATCTTCAAACTGGTGTCTCAACCTTACTGCCAACTTTTCTCGTTCAGGAAAAATTGCCACTTATTTCCCAACCAAGTATTCCAAAGTAAAACTTTGCTCAACTTTAACTGGCTGTACTGGAAAAAATGTACTACGAGAGTTTGGCAAGTAACCTTAAAAGTTGGCGCATTTAATAAGGATTCCAAAATGGTATAACACTTAGAAGATTACTCGTTAACTTATGCACAATATCTATTTGAAAAAAAACTGATGAAAATTTTTCAAAATTTCCTAATTAAACAGCGATTATGAAAACGCACAAGGACCCTTAGGGATAACTGTTTGCACAACAGTGGGCGTCAAAATGCTGCTGATGATGATTTACCTTTACAGCAAATGCTCAAACTGTTTTCCTTCAGCCGCAATACACGCTCGACATCTTCTTAAAAAAGATCGGGTTATTAAACGAGCGAATCCACGGTTATTAACAAACTCAGCTGCTTCCAATAGTCTTTGCCGTAGCTCAGATTCATTTTGAATCGGCTTGAAATACACTTTTTCTTTTAAAGTTCCCCAGTAAAAAAAAAAAAGGATTCAAATCAGGTGATCGGGCTGGCCACGGTATTGTACCAGACCGCCTTATCCATCTGCCTGGAAAGTTTTGATCGAGATACTCTCTCACTGAGAGTGCATAGCGCGCACGGCAGCCATCATGCTGAAACCACATGTCCCTGTAAATACTCAGTGGCACGTCCACCAATAAATTTTGTACATGATTTTTCAAAAAATCCAAATAAATTTCAGCAGTCAAAGTCTCTGGGAACTCAAACGGACCGATTATTTTACCATTTAAAATTCCTGTCCAATGGTTTATCTGGAAGCGATATTGAGATTTATCTTCTCTCATCAAATGTGGGTTTGCTACGTGCCACTCGTGTAAGTTATGCAGGTTCATGTACCCATCTTTCTTAAATGTGGTCTCATCTGACCATAAAAAAGCTCGGGGCACATAATCCCGGGGCAGAAGAGCTTGAACACGCTATACGTGGTATGGATGGAGCACGTTTTTTTTCAAGATTCTATGGGCTGTACTTTTGGGCACACCTGTTTTTAGTTCTATTGCATGCACTGAAGTACTCGGGTCTTCTTCGACAGCTCCTAGCACCACGTCTTCGTAAGGAAGGAAAGATCTTCCCTCACCGTGTGATTGGTTTGGTAGTTGGCCCTCTGAGAACAGTAAGCGGTGCACATTTGTGAACACTCGATGATCTGCATTCCCCATAAATGAGGTGCATGTTAGCATATTCTTGTACGGTGTACACGGACATAGCGGCACTGCACAATCACACTATCAAAGATAGTCTAAGGAAAGCAAATGTTGTTTTGAAGAGCACTTAAACAGTCCAAATCCAAATCACAAGCGATCAACAGTCCAGTTCACGAATCCAAAATTAGTAACAGTACGAAATCAACAAGCACGAACATGTAAAGATGCGCAGTAAACGAATGAGTACTGATCGGTATCAAAGTGTGCAATAGCAAGTAAGTGTTGTGCTTCATCCTTACCATATACATACAGCGTGTTCAACCTCTCCTGCCCCGGGATTATAAGCCCCGAGTTGCTTTTTGTCGCACAATGTTAGAAAGACACAGGAAAGATCCACAGTTCTTTGAAAAAATTTTATAGTCGGATGAGACCACATTTAAGAAAGATGGGTATATGAACCTGCATAACTTACACGAGTGGCACGTAGCAAACCCACATTTGATGAGAGAAGATAAATCTCAATATCGCTTCAAGATAAACCATTGGACAGGAATTTTAAATGGTAAAATAATCGGTCCGTTTGAGTTCCCAGAGACTTTGACTGCTGAAGTTTATTTGGATTTTTTGAAAAATCATGTACAAAATTTATTGGTGGACGTGCCACTGAGTATTTACAGGGACATGTGGTTTCAGCATGATGGCTGCCCAGCGCACTATGCACTCTCAGTGAGAGAGTATCTCGATCAAAACTTTCCAGGCAGATGGATAAGGCGGTCTGGTACAATACCGTGGCCAGCCCGATCACCTGATTTGAATCCTTTAGATTTTTTTACTGGGGAACTGTAAAAGAAAAAGTGTATTTGCCGATTCAAAATGTAGCTGAGCTACGGCAAAGACTATTGGAACCAGCTGAGTTTGTTGATAACCGTGGATTCGCTCGTTTAATAACCCGATCTTTTTTAAGAAGATGTCGAGCGTGTATTGCGGCTGAAGGAAAACAGTTTGAGCATTTGCTGTAAAGGTAAATCATCATCAGCAGCATTTTGACGCCCACTGTTGTGCAAACAGTTATCCCTAAGGGTCCTTGTGCGTTTTCATAATCGCTGTTTAATTAGGAAATTTTGAAAAATTTTCATCAGTTTTTTTTCAAATAAATATTGTGCATAAGTTAACGAGTAATCGTCTAAGTGTTATACCATTTTGGAATCGCTATTAAATGCGCCAACTTTTAAGGTTACTTGCCAAGCTCTCGTAGTACATTTTTTTCC